GATTATTATCACTGTGGCCCTGTGAGCTGACACTCTACTCATCTGTGTAGAGAAGAACTCAGCCCTGCCCTCACGTAAACAGTGACTGACACAGGGAAAATGCAGAAAAGCAAAGTGCAAAATGCAATTTGTAGAGTTGCAGGTTTCCATTTGGTTTCAGTGGAGTAAACGTTTCAGAGAAGCCAGAGGTCTGGCAAAAGAGACGATCAGAGCACTCAGGGGGGATATTTACTAAACCTATTGGAAATTACCATCAGAAAATATTGGGGCACATTTTTTATTTAGCAGCATATTTACCAACACTGATGATGTAAGTGATGTAATTGAATGCACCTCCACTTTGCATCTGCTGCCTGAAGGCTGTTATGCACATGTGGACCCAGAGGAAGTGTAGAAGAAAGTCTAAGTTTACAGCGACCCAACTTTGATATGGTTGAAGAAAGTAACAAACATATTTCGGAAGGGCAGTCACATAGTTTCCTAGCAGACACACCATCTTTTTCATTCAGTAACTGAAGCACAGTCAATTCCTGCAGTGCATTTCTTCTGTTTCTCCACCGCAAAACCCCACTGCCACTCCTTAGTAAATATGAACACATGCAATTTCACTGTTTAGCGCCAGAAAATGAGCCACAAAACCTTAGTAAATATAACCTTCAGTGTGGAATATAGAAGAGAACCTAATCTGCTGCAAGCCATTTGAATGGTTGGCATGCCAGTGGTCTGGCTGAAAAGAGACATAAACAAAACAAAAAGTAGCCTTAAGATGAGAACTCTGAGAGCGCAAACCTTCACCAAGGCAGCTCAGTTTCCCCATAATGCCATTCCACCTAAAAGCAGTATTCCAATGATACTTTGACCCTTGTAATATGATTCACTGACCATGAAAACCTACTGCTGGCATTTGGAATCACATTGATAATATTATTAGCTTGAATGGTATTCAGGAAAAATTATTTTCCTGTATTGGTGGTTTTCTTCAGAATGTAGCACACACAGTAACTTTTGACGATCCATCAGACCTGTTGACACCTACTGAATCTGTTAGTTAGTTTCAGCTAGAATTTGATCTTAGTCCCAAGTCTGTAGTAATATGTGTTGTCTCACAGTGGTCAGTTTTCTGTGAGGCCTATACATTTAAACATTCTAGATCACCACATCTGGAATATTGCTTGGATCAGATCATAATTTACTGTGTGGTAGATCTTATGTGGATGTTGTCTTGCAGTTTTTGTCCAAGCACTCTAGGAATTGTGTATCCAGTTAGAAGCAAAAATATTTAAATTGGTGATTACAATAATCAACATGTGGTTACAGTTAGAGGACTCTGCTCCTTTGATTTTATTATTGTTATGCATGAGTGGAAAACATGGTCTGATGTTGGCACTTGAGGAGAATGTCAGTATAACCCAGACTTATAGGATTTATCATCAAAAGATAATGACTATATGACATACAGTACATGTACATTCTCAAGTTGAGTTTTAGAATAGTAAGGTTTGTTTTACTTGATTATGACTTTTGCCTGGAGTGATAACTCTAATTAAAACAGTAAATTAATGTCTCTATAAAGAGGTTTTTCTATTATAGGAACCTAAAACATGTCACGTCGAGTAATGCTCGTCATGGGTTCTGTGTTTGTTTTCACTACGGTGCGCCAGCTTTGAAGGTGCATTCTAGGAGCTAAATTTGGGCACCCCTCAGGAGGTAGTACTAAAATCAAGTAACAGGAACATGAAGGGGGAGGGTGTGCGTGTGTGCAGAGCAGTAGTCCCAAACCCTCATCCTTACAAACCCTGTACTACACAGTTGGCAGAGCAAAACTCAGTATGTTGTGTGCTCTCAGCAATAATAACAACATAGATCTCACTGAATGCAAATTAACCTTCCAACTTCAGGAATTCCAAGATGTAAGATGACATGTAGTTCTGAACATGTGTTAGAATGAGAACACAAGTCCTTGTTTTTATTTGAGAAAACAGTCAGTTTCACTGAGGTGCCTTGCTTATGTTCAGCTGACCCTAAGAGCAGAGATAAATCAGTCACTGTGTGGTAGTTTTAAACAGACTCAGGGCCCTTGATCCTTCTTTTCCTCATATTAGCTATTGTTCACCTCTTTGACGTGAGGCAAGAAACTTTGAGCTAGTTCAATTTGTCAGGCCAAGCTGATGTAGAGGCATACATCAGAGGTGAAACCCAGAGAATAATAGCTGTGATTCATGTGGCCAGCTGTCTTCCTTCTGTCTGGCATTCTTACTTTCTTTATCTCTGTTTCTCCAGCTCATTCAAGCCACTCTACTCTTGCTCTTGCCCTCATCCACCCTCTCTTTAATGGCCCTAACAGACGCAATGTGTCATTAAGAGAGTGAAGATTGGGTCTGCTTAATGAGATTTTGAGAGGTTCGCTGATTGGCCGGCTGGACTCAGACTGTTTTGGAGACAGATTCTCCCCCAGAGATTAGCAGCCACACTGTCATCTTGCTCGAAGTATCACACACATATGCATCCACCTGCACACACAAATTATTTGGACTGAATGAACTAATTTAACCAAGGGCACATTTGCATCTACCATGTTTGTTTTTTAGTGATGTTCAGTGTTTGTTCTTTAAATGTGGCTCCTTTTGGGCAGGTGAAAACATTCAGGCATTTTCTGCCTATGACCTCTAGCATGAGCTGGATTTCCCAGCAAATCTTGCTGTTTTGCAACAAATAGAGATACAGTCCTGGGGTCACCAAACTGGGCATTCTCCATTCGTCTACTATGTCTTGAGGTTCTGTCAATTAAAATCACAAAACAGAGTAGGCGACAAAGCACAGCCCTGGCAGACCTCAACACCAAAGCGAATGCACTTGCCTTCTTGCCAAGAAGACACCCTGAGAGGCATGTTATATGTTTAGTCCAAGTCTCCAAAGAACACATTGACTGGATGGGTAAACATCAATAATCTCTCTGATATCATTGCAAGAGTGAAGGCCTGGTCCACCCTGATATGACCAGGACAGAAACAGCATTGTATATTGGAAGTACTCATTCCTACTTCTCTTTCCTGCTTTCACGATCATAAACTTGATTTTTAAAATAAAGATATAATTTTTAATGGATTTAACCTAATGGAGGGCTGTGCATCTTTTTATTTGTTTCCCTGTATCTATCTGAACTGGTCCCTTATGGTTGTAATGAGAATTCCTATCATCTGCTGCGTGCCATCCGGACTTAGGACACTGCATTCCTATGTCTAAGGAATTCAAAGTATATACAGTAGCCTACTGCATTTTCATCATCGCTCCATTTTCTATTAGCAGACAGTATCACCATGGATTAGTTGTTAGGTGTTTGCTATATAAAACGAATGGATAATGATGGCCCTGTAATAGGCTGGCAACCTGTCCAAGGTGTACCCTGCCTCTCACCCAGCTGGGATAGGCCCTAGCACCCCCACAGCCCTGTTCAGGAATAAGCGGTATAGATAATGGATGGATGGATGAATATTGATGGTTACTTGGGGTAACAGGATAATATTGCTAACATTATAGACATTCAATAATAACTGTAACCCATTTTTCAACTAGAGAAATGCATTTCCTGTTGTAAATGCGTGTGGATGCTGATATGCTGAAAGATTGTCCTGAAAATGCCTGAAATCAATTGCTGAAACAGCTGAAGGATGAAAAGAAATGGCTGCAGTTGTTTGTTGAATAATCTGATTGATGAGATGCATTAAATACAAGTAGGAATGTCCTTGAAGACCTGAACTTATGAAGTGCCATTTCTCAATCGTGCTGCATTTTATGGACCACCAGTCATTTGTGGCAACATGTGCTGTGCATTTGTAAAGTTTTATATGATAAATGCAAAGGGAATAACATTCAGCTTAGACATTCATCAATGTTAATGTACCAAAAAAAGTAAAATGAAGATTGTTCACGAGTCCCAAATCTCAAGCATGAATCGAGTTTCAGGTGAAGTTTCACATCCCAATCTTTACCTTATAGACCTTATACTGTGGTTCAGTAGTGTAGTGTAGTGCAGTCGTCTCCTAATCGGAGGGTTGGAGGTTGAATCTCGGTGCCTGTAGTCCACATGTCAAAGTGTCCTTGGGCAAGACACTGAACCCCCAGTTTGTCCCCAATGGTTAGAACCATCGGTGTGAGTTGGTGCCAGAGATGGCTGCCTCGGTTCTGTACCGGAAATAAATTCTGTGTGCGTAACATACTTGGCCAAATAACGGTGATTATCCTTATAGAAATATAAGATTGACAAAAACAAGATTTATTGTTAAAGAAGACCATCTGACAGTCAGCAGAACCTCATACTAAGGGCAAATCACAGCCTGGACTGATGCCTGTGCTCATTTAATTCATCATTGTCATGGTTGGTTCAGGTCATGGGAAAAAACAGGGAGAGACACTGCTTTCAAACTTGCAGGTATGGCTTTGCTTAAAGAAAGTAACTAAAAAAAAAGAAACCAGAAAAGTTACAACATAATCAAAACTATGAGGTGTGTAAATCTGTAGGTAAATGTGTATCAGTAAATCAGTAAATGTGTGAGAGGCTGCATGACAGATCTACTGTGCAGTGTTGTGTGAATGAATGAACAAACAGAAAAAGAGCTGCACCGCTGTCCTCCTCCTCTGGACTAAAGATGGTGGGTAGTTATTAGGTAATGAGGAGCACTGGGCCCAGGTGCTCCCTCTCACCCAAATGATGATCCACCCACCTGACACCTGCAAAACAGGGAGGACAGACATGCCACAGGCCCGGGCCGTCACATCATCATCATTATCATTCTTTCCAAGTGAATTATGTTGAGTTTGAAGTTAGATACCTGACCACCTACTTCACCTACTGTATCTTGTGTCAATGCTTAGTACTGGAGTCATGGACGCACACTCCTAGCTCTTACTTTAAATGCTGCATGGTTCTGTTTTTATATAACAGTCAAATGTCTGACTGACTCCCTCTTCTTTGTAACTCTATGTCTCTCGCCCTGTGACAGACCAGCTCCGAAGGCTTTGTCAGAGCAGGGCAGCACCAGTGACAAGAAGGAACGTCCCATGAGCACCATGAGCGAGGCTTCAAACTACACAGGTGGCTCCGACTACAGCACCTTTACTCCCAGCCCTGCCACCACTGTTACTATGGCCGCCGCCACCTCCACCTCATCCACACGGGTCAGTGTCCATCCCAACCAACCTTAACTGTTAAACATAGCTCTGATGAGCAATTGAATCACTGTTCTAAATCAAGGTTTATAATAAATACACTGTTACACTCTGAGGCTCTGACCTCATTCTCATAGGAGTCATAACTTCCTGGAGGTTACACTGGTTACATGGCAGGTGCTCAGAGCCAAGAAATAGCCCTTTATCTGACACATAATCCCTCACAGTAATGAACTGTAGTTTGTACATTTCGGTTTTTGACTTAAGCAAACGAAATATAGTATGTCAGTAAGTGAGCTTGGTAGGCAGCTTCTGTAACTGGTGAACAGCCAGCCTTGCTGTTTCCCCTTTCCTTTGTATGCTAAGCTAATTGGCATCTGGATGTAGCCTTACATTTAATGTGCAGGCATGACTCTCATCTAACACTTCACTAGAGAGAGAATATTCATTTGCCAAAATGTCAGACAGTTGCCTTAAGCTAGTCATTTGCAAGCTGGATTAAACAAAAGAAAGAGCTTCTCAGGTTTACATTATTCCTGATATTTTTTACATTCATTGTTAAAGTTACTGTACTGATAACTGATGGAAAGAATGAAAGGAATTAATGAAAGTGATGAGCACCAATGTTAAACTATCAGCTGTTTGTTTGTTGTTCCTGTAATGCTGTGCTGGAGGTCATCCTGAGGCCATTTATAATGGTAACATGCTGAGTTGTTGCTGATTCCCAGCAACTGTCTTGGAATGTGTCCATGTGGTGTCATAACCTCTCATTTCATGCTGGAGAAGTTAGAGTACAAAGCAGGCTAAGTCAGCTGTATTAGCACTAAGCCTGTCTTCTGCACAGGTCACTGTGCATGGTCACTGTTAGACTGAACAGCATGTCCATTTATAAATGCTTAATAAGCCGCACAGTGTAGAGGAAATAAATATGCATGGGTAGATCAAATAAAAAGTTCAGTGCTTTCATTAATAAGTGATGCTTTGCTTCTGCTTACACTGGCCAAAAGAAAGTATAATGCTGCTTACTGTATCTACATGTATACATGAGGCATCATTATTTATAACTGAGTGAACAGGTCCAGGCCCGTGGGTCCCCAGAGGAAGGTTTTAAAAAGAACAACCCAGAGACTACCTATAGAACAAGATGCATTTTAGAATAAAGTTCAAAACAGCCATAAAGTAGCTTATGTTTTACCTCTGCAGTGTAAATTACTACACTATGTGTTTTCAGTTTGCAGAAAGAACATGATACAGCCAGCAGTTTCTCCTAAAACTGCATTTGGCACAAAAATGTTCAACGGGAAATTTCTACAGCCCCAAATGAAAAAAAGCTGGGACAGTAAAATCCAAATTAGAACAGAAAATAGAGATTTGCAAATCATCTGTGTCCTATGTTACATTGAAAACAACACAACATCACATTATTTGATGTGACATCTCATCAGTTTTATTCTTTGTTCAAAATAAACACTATTTTCAGGTTTCATTTTGATTTTTCTTACCGTCCCAACTTTTTCTGATTTGAGGTTGTAGTGTAAAAACATAATCACTTTATGTACAGAGGAAAGGTTGAATAATAAAACAATGACCCAGTCAGAAGACATTCAGAGCTGACGGTGCTGGTAGAAGATAAGTCAGAGGGTCACCAATAACCTTAGAAAGCTTTACTCAAACAAATACAGTCATAACATGACAGCTATGGCAAATGATTCAACAGTAATTTCATCCTATTTGCAATGAATTTAGACTCAAAGGACTTCTTGTATCTTTCTGCTCTTGGCTGACATAAAAGAGATTTTTGTGCTATAGTGCTGCATTTTTCAGTAAGCGAGCCATGATATATGGAGAATGAGCAATATGCTTTGTTTAATGAGCTGAATACATCTGCTACTGTTGTTGCTTTTTATAGTTCTCCCTGCTGTGTTCACTCTCTAGGAGATGTAAGATGAAAATACTAGCACAACTTGGATTTTTTGGAAGGTTTATAAAATAGTATGTGTGAATTACCTATTCAAAAATGTACATTTCAATGTCTGTAATGCAATTTTGTCTGTAGAGCTGAACATAATATAAACTTACAGATTCTCTCATATATTATTTGACAGCCTTCTAGGTCTTCCAAAAAGGTTCACAACTTTGGCAAGAGGTCCAACTCCATCAAGAGGAACCTTAATGCCCCAGTGATCAAGAGCAACTGGCTTTACAAACAGGTAGATATTATGGGATGTGTTATGGGAACTGAGAGTGGGCAGACAGACGACTGGTAATAGCATATAGCTTAATAGTCTATTGCAATGTGAAAGGTGCACACATAAGAACATACAGTATATAAAAAGTACTAGTATTTTTCACTGTACTTTTTACTTTTTGTTGCTACATTAAATCACAGTAGCTACAGAGCTGGATTTAAGACTTGGTTGGTGTAACATAGAATTAACTATAGACTGGAGGCAGGGGCTTTTTAACCACATTAAAGATGTGGTATAATGGAAAAAAAAGAGGTTTGAGATGGATGGCTCAGGGTGATGGTAGAGGTCCCCCTTTACTGTCAAATGACTAAACTCTGTCTTTGCTGTTTTTACATTATTTAAAGTTTGAAATCTCTCGCTTCGAGAGCGAGTAGTTTTGAAACTATGCCTGGTGTGACGTAACGCCCAACCGTGGAATCAGGATAAGCCCAGCCGCTGATCAGCGCTACACAGAAAGCATAGGGAGCAAAATGAAAATAGCTACGTATGCTAAATCCAAGCTAGCTGCCTCCTGCTGTGTTTGAAACATTACTTTATTAAGAAACTGAAACATGACCCTATTGTTCTGAAACGTCCAGCTGAAGTCTCTAGTCTGCAACAGCAGCTTCCTCTCTTTCCCATTCAGGATCAGACTCTGGTTCATATATCTCCATATACTGTCATGTGTGTGCAGCCATTATGAAAGGTAAAGAGAAACAGCAACCTTAAGAGGTCTTGCATTATCCATTAGATCCTATTATGATTGGCTGGGGTTGAAAATGAATCATCACCTCAGGCCAGTCAGAGTAGGTGCTCATAAATAATGTAATTTCTGTGTTAATGACTTCTGAAGCAGCCCGCTGGAGAACAGAGGGGAATCTGGGCTGTTTTTAAAGATAGATCTAGAGAAATCTGAACACATTTTGGTGAATAAAATGTCACAAATATGTTTAAAATATACCCAGTGTTTATAAAAATAGGTCAAAAATAGTCATAATACCACATATTTAACATGTTTATCTGGTTTATTACACACACACACAGATAGAGAGACGTGAAAAATAAGAGCTACAATAAATGACTTTGTGCAGGATCCTGAAATTTGTAGGTATTTTATTGGAGTTCTGTTCATTCATTAAAGCAACAATTTAGCACCCTATATATCAAATCAAAGTACCAAACATCATGAGAAGTCATTAAGCTAACTACCCCTAGCAAACACTATGAACTAATAGACCAGTTAAACAAAATGGCTATAAAGGTTTGTGGTCTTCTACTATTTTCAAAATCACTGACAGTTATTCAGTGGGTCAGAAGCATTGAATCTGACTCTGGATCCTGTTTGTGCTGCAGGGCTTCACTGGACATTACAGTAGTTAACCATAGTTTGAGGCTCGGCTTGTCTCTCATTACATTTCCACCTATTTTCTGCAGGCTAGTCAGTTCTTATCGCCCCATTGGGGTCTACTGTGGGGCAATTTTTCAAGTGGTCTGTGAACCACTGACCACTGCATACTGCCCCGAAGACAGCTGTTAGGTATTTTTAGTCAGATAGAAATTGGATAGATACTTTATGTATTAGAAATGTTTAGTGGAGATAGGATGTCTAGTTAGACTGTTAAATGCTTAGGCATGCTTATGAGTTTCTACAGGGAACATCTGGTCAAGGATAACTAGAGAGAAGAGTTGATGACCGTCAGCAGACAGGATGTTTAATATTATTATTATGACGTGTATAACTGTAGCCTTAGCCATAATATGTTCTTATGTTTGAGTCATGACATGTTACTAGAGGTCGTGAGAATGTTTTTAGCTACACACCACTTAATCAACAGACACACACATTCACACGTTGATTTGCTTCATGTTTTGACTACTGCTATGACCAGCTGCAAAGCTGGTAACAGAGACGTCTCGGTTGACGTTTCTGTGTAGTATGGGGCTAGCCCAACCGAGGGGATATAATGTACAGGCCAGGTGGGTTCAGGGCCTTTCATCTTTCATCTGCCTGTGTGCAGGTTGGAGGTGCAAGATACCTGAGCGTGTAATGTTAATTTTTGCCTGTGTTCATGGAATAAATCAGCACTGTTTTGTAATTACTTGGACTGCCTCGTCTCTCAGAGTCAGTGTGGTAAAAAGTACCGGGTACAACACAGCCTTATTGAACACTGTTCAACTCAGCCTTCAGACCTCACTAAGAACCACTGTCAATAACCTCCATCTCAGCCTCGCCTCCTGTGCCACCACTCACTGTATGACATCAAGACGAAAATCGATTCACTTCACACGAGCCAACTCCTCTTCTCTTCCCCATAGACCTGTCAGGCAGAGTGCTCATTCATAGAGGAAATGTCATCATTGTTTACCCAAAGCCGCTGACCTCAAGATCTGTGGCTGGACACGACACATCACAAACAGCACTAAAACCCAAGTGGAATGAGCAAATGGTCTTGAAAAACATGGCACTGTAGCTGCAGTCATTACGGCACTGGGGGGGGGTGGGGGGGGAACCAAGTGTAGAAAGCAAAGCACAAGCCTTCACCCTGAGCACCACAGAAAGAGAAATTTGTCACTGCATTATGAAGAGATAAAACAGAGCAATTTGTCTCAGAGGAGGAGATAGAAGCTGGCTAATAGAAGCAGCCAGAGGGAGAGACAGCGAGGGTGTCAAGAGGAGGGAAGTGAGGGGAGATCAAACAAGGGAGAAAAAACTGTGTCTGTGTGTGTTAGAGAGAGAGAGAAAGAGAGGGTGTGTTCTCTATAATTACTTCAGTTTGACTGGCTGGCTGATGGTCTGTGACCTTTGACCCCTGCAGGACAGCACTGGCATGAAGCTGTGGAAGAAGAGGTGGTTCGTTCTGTCAGACATGTGCCTCTTCTACTACCGTGGTACACACACACACACACACACACACACACATATACATATGCAAATCCAAATTTAGGATGCAGGCTGATAATTCCATTTGATTTTAAAATCAAGAGCTTTTTATAGTCAGAGGAGACTGAGTTCATATTTTGTTCAAGGACATTTCAAGAAAACATATTTATTATATAAAGAATCATACTGCTCGTGCTTGAAGACCACCGCATCTTCTCATTATCTCTCACAGACGTATGACAAATTAAAGAAAAAAGTTGTGTGAGCAAACATAATAAATGAAGATTATGGATTCACTGATCCAAAGTGTCAACTTGGTATCTACCCCAGTTTTCTTTTCCACCCCCTTCATTTCTGAATGTTAGCCCTTTATTGTGAAACCAGAAGTGTTGATAGTGCAGCTGCCACACACGGGGAAAAATTACTTGATGTTGTCATTTTAAAGGTCAGTTTTCTGCACCTTGTTTTAGAAGTCATTCTGAAGATTTGTTAAAAAGCTTCTTGGTGGATTTTGCTTTTATTTGACAATGACAGCAGAGATACTTAGTGGAAAAGTAAAAAGAGAGAGAAGAGTATGACAGGCAAAAGCCCCCTGGACATTAGAGCTGTTTTCAGACATGGGATACAGGGGATAGGTCAAGTGTCCATATCGCTTAAAAGTAGCTGTCCTTGCTTTGACCCACAGTTGCAATGCCCACGCTGCAATTTAGAACTTTATGTTCACAAAAGCACATCTGTTCCTCCTTCATATCTCCTAAACTCTTGAGAGAGATTTTTCCATCTCCATAAATTGACAAATTAGCTGTTCCCAGAGTGCAATCAGCAGCCGCTTTCATGACAGACCCAGAGGAGAATTGGATGTTTATTGGCTTAGCCAGCCAGAGATGAGAGAGAGGAGGTGTCCTCAGGAAGGACAATGGCGTGCTCGGCTTTCCAATAACAACTTTTTCATTTTTCCCCACCTTGCTTTACTACTTTATTCTAAGTACCCTCTGTCACTCAAGTTTGGATGTGTCTGTAGAGTTTGGACTTGTGCATTTTATATGAGCAACGACAATAAGCATTCATCCTACTGCAAGGTTCTGCTAATGTATTCATTGTGTTTACATATAGTCTTGTAATTCTGTTAGAATGGGGATATGCAGTATGTAAACTTCAAACTCAGGTTTTACGGTTACAGCTTCATAAGCAGATTTAGAGTTATCCAAAAATAATTTAATGAAATAAAAGTACTGTTGTTTTAAAGCAGTTTTGCTCAAGCAAAAATAAAATGACTTATTAAAATTCAATTAAAAGTAACAAATAAGTGATTTAAAATGTATTCCTAATAAATGTTTGTGTTACTTTTTAATATGGGGGCTGAAGAAGACATGTTACATGGCTCTTTCTCTTAGGCATAACATTTCCTGTTATGCCATTTATAAAGTGTATGATAGTGCATGTATAATGACTGACAAACACAAATTTTCTTCAAAAACTGTGCATCCTTGATTAGAGACTGGTTGGGGAATATTTCCTAAGGATTTGCTGCTCATTTTCTGGCACTAAACAGTGAGATTGTGTGTGTTCTTATTTACTAAAGAGTCGTAGTCTCTGGAAAAAGAGAAGAAAAGAAGCATCGCAGGAATTTTCGGGTCTCATGAAATATGTATTTTAAGGCATAATTGCTCAAGGATGCAAAAACTGGGAGGAGAGAATGAAAATATATACAAATACTCTCAGCACCTGATTTACAGAGGAAACCGTGGCTGAAGTGTAACCTCAGGAGAAAGCAGGTGTTAATTTTGCGGCACTGTTGCCAGCGTGGCAGCTGTCATTCATCCTACACCTCGTCAGAATTAAGATCATGTATGAGGAGGGAGGTGTTTTTAAATTGCATCGCTCATTTGAGGAGAATGTGAGAGACTTTCTCAGGCTTTCAGATCAGACCATGCTTTAATTAATCACTGAACAAAATAAAAGATGATTTGTCAGCTACAAAATATGCTTCTTGATTTCTTCAATCATATTAAAGTTCAGTTACAGTGAACACACTCTTTTCTGTTGTCCCTCTGGTCCACCTGTGCGCAGCGCAGGCACGTCCTAACTAGCTAAAGCACATTCCAATTAACACTGCTGTGGCTCTGCTCCTTTAAGTCATTAGTGTTGGTAAATATGTCACTAAATAAAAAAATTGTTATGCCACAATATTTTCTACACCTGACGGTGATTTGCGACGGGTTTAGTAAATATCCTTTGTTCTTTGTGCACTGACGTTGAAATGGTTCCTCAAATGCAGAAGATTTTTTTTAAAGCATCCTCAGAAAAATTTGATTGACATTCATATGAATTCATAACATTTCCAGTTTTCTGTAAACCTGTAGTATTATGTGATTATTTCCACATTTATCTATAAGCTGAGGCTGTTTGCAAACAGAAATAAACAAGCACAAAATGATGTTTCTGCCTTTATATTGGATGCAGTGTCCAGTAAATTTGCATCCAAATGTGTATTCACCTCACCTACTGATACTCTGATGGCTTGCATTTATATAACTATTAAGATGTATTTGAGTCATTTGTCTGCTTTAAATGTCTTAACAAACAGGCACAGTCTTGGTGAATGGACATAGTATGTGTAGCACCAAGGTGTCAACACAGTTATCAACCAGTCTGGCCAGGTTTTGTCTAGCGAATTCACCATGATGCCCTCAGGCAGCCATTATCGTGAACCTCTCGGCAGAACTAACTGATTTTCAGTCTTTTGTCTTTTATTACTTTTGCTATTAGGCTGTTAAACACTGATAGCACTCAATTTACACTTAATTTAAATTCTAGAGTCCTGTTTGTTTGTTTTTGTAGTTAATTTATTTCTATTAGGATTTACATTTTACTTCATCCATTATTGACCATTAGTTCTAACTACTAATAAATGTGTTACTTTTTAATATGGGCAGCACGGTGGCACAGTGGTTAGCGCTGTTGCCTCACAGCGAGAAGGTTCTGGGTTCAGGCCCCGGGTTCAGGCCCCACCTGGGACCTTTCTGTGTGGAGTTTGCATGTTCTCCCCGTGCTTGCGTGGGTTCTCTCTGGGTACTCCGGCTTCCTCCCACAGTCCAAAGACATGCAGCTTAGGTTGATTGGTGTCTCTAGATTGTCCATAGGAGTGCATGCATGTGTGTGGTTGTTCGTCCATGTGTTAGCCCTGCGATGGATTGGCAAGCTGTACCTTACTGGCCGGGATTGGCTCCGGCCCCCCTCCACAACACTGTTCAGGATAAGCGGTCCAGATATTGCATGGATGGAAGTAATTTATTTATCCATATATATATATGCACACAAGTTATTCTTGTAATAAAGTTTGTGTATACCAGATTAAAAATAAAAATTATTCAATACTTGTGAGTCTTGCCAGATCCCGGTCACAACAAAAATAAAACTAAATATGTAATAAACAATAATTATCCTTCAAACAAATATTTATTATTTATCATGATCAGAGTTTTTGGTTACAGCATCTCCAGACACTGATTGTTAGGAATATACTGTATCTGAACACAAGTAAGTTTGCAGGACATATTTACAACCTCATTCAGCCTGGTAAAACTGGAACGTTGAAATATAAATTACTCTAAGAGACCCCCATTCACATGGTAGTGTATACACACAGCATTTCTGCACATGCCATTTTACTCATCCCCTCTCTTTCTAACTCATTTACTGTGCATTTGTTCTGTATCTCAATAATTCAGCAGCATGGGCTCACCATGCAGGCTCATCTAAAGTAAACAGTAGCACAGGCTGGAGCCTCTGTAGGTCTTTGCTGCATTTGGTGCAGTGGACCCTTTTCTGCCTGCGTCATACTGTCTCTTAATTTGTAGCTTGCATCGAAGCAGCGTCGTGCTGTAGAGAGCACCGAGAGGTGTCAGAACGATGCAGTCAACAACATGAATCAGCTCGGGTTATTGTTACAGGGCCGTTTTTCATGTGGCATCAATGAATACTTACTTGATTAGAGCAGTCAACTATAATACATTCATGGCCGCCTTTCACATCTTTTGCACTTTGCAGCTGTTTTGCTTTTGATGTGTGAAGAAAATGTGTTAAAACATGAAGAAAAAAAATAAAGGAAGAACAGAAGCAGAAGCTGTGTTTGCCATGTGCTGCAGCCTGTGGAGAGCCCATCCTGAGCCGCGTGTGTTCCATACTGTGTACCACACACAGGGAGGAAAATAATAGCATAGTTCTTGCAGGAAGTAAATAGAGCTCATAGGGATGTTCCAGTCATCTCATTCTCGCTCTCTGTCTCTGCCTGCTGTGGACTGATAAACCTCAGTACATTTTGTCCCATTATCACACCATTGACTAAGCAACGGAAGACCTCCATGTTCTTGGAGTCAAAGGCACAACTTGACCACGTGTTTCAAATAATACCAATCTCTTAATATTTACCACAAGTAAATATTCAGTTATACTGGATTTGTATTATTATGTTTCAAAATGTGGTATACTGTGTATTACATCTCCATATTGAAATCATGTTTCATAGCGCAAGCAGTCTCTGACAGTTCTGTATAGTGTGTTAATGCTGCATAGGCAGTGGGTGGTGAAACACTAACCTACTAGAAGGAGCATAGTATCAGCATAGTATCACATGTAGGTGTAAGGAACTCCCACACAATTCTTTGTATAGTGATGAAAACCTACTCACATGAGACTTGTCTCTTTTATGTGGTATGATGTCCAGATACTTACGGACTGGTTTGTGTGTCTATCCAGTGCTGTACCTTTATGTGTTAGAGAGATTCTTTAGAGTTCAATCAGAGCAAAGCTTTGTCCACCAAACTCTATCTACTCATTTCTGTAAATTCTTTCAATTCTTCAATTCAATGGAAGTTTCTCATATCTGAAGCAACCCAGTGTTCTATTTGGTGAATTATTTCACCTTGGAAATTCAACAAGTTGACAGCCAAATTAAAAAGAACAAAAACCCCAAAGACAATGAACCAAAGATACTGCAACTACAGCCTACTTTGAAACAGATGAATCCTTATTGATGTCTACTGAACCTGAGCCAGATGCACACACTACTTTAGAGTAAGTCGAAGTGGCATGGATCCAAATGCCTGCCTCTAGTATTAAACTCATGACCTTCCATTTCTTTGCTGCAGATGAGAAAGAGGACAGCATCCTGGGAAGTATCCTGCTGCCCAGCTTTCACATCTCCATGTTGTCAGTGGATGACCACATCAGCAGAAAATATGCCTTTAAGGTAAAATACAAGTGTTTTTTGTATAGTTTACTGTGTTCAACTCTCAACAGGTTCTCAGTTTTGTTGTTTGTTTTATTGTTGGTTTATAAAGGAAGGATTCAAGATTATGGGAAATACACATTTGCTTTTTGTTGTGAGATGAGAAGATGGATAGCAGTCTCTGTGTTCAGTGCTGGATATATTTAGCATTTCTTAGCATAAACACCGGAAGCAGGGGGAAACGGCTCGCCTTGCTCTGTCCAATGTGAAAAAGTATACTCCACTGTGGTTGGAAGGGGGCCTCAAAGCCTGTCAACCGTCTGACAAGCAGTTGTGAGGGAGTATACAGATGCGTTTAAGCTCAAAAATGAACATATTTCCCATTTGTTTAATCTGTAGTGAACAGAAATATAAAAAGTCTGTGGTTGGGAGCTGAAACATCCTCTTGTGTAGCCTCCTCTAGCAGGGATCACCAAATAGTGTCAGCGGGTACTGAGTTTGGTCTTTGTAAAGGCACGCTGGTACAACATGGCAACCTCGCTGCGGATGTTGGGATGGTTTCGCCACTACAACACAAAAACAGTTCTTTCCCATAACTTTCACAATTTATTGTTTTTATGTATGAGTCCAGAACAAAAGCTAGATGATTATATTATTGAACTTTAGAGGTGTTGCTCAGCAGACTTATTTGCATTGGTCAGAGTGAGGGGGCTGCGGCCCCCTGCTTCCCATCTTTAGGCTAAGCTAGGCTAACTACATACTGACTCTAGGTCTGCACTTGACAAACAAGCATGAGATTGGTATTGATCTTCTCACCTCACACCAAGAAAAGGAGAAGTGAAGAAGCATTCCCAAAATGTTTAATTACTTTTTTAAGATGGTAGTGTACTTGTCTTTCAGTAAACCTAGATTCCCTCTAAGTTGATGTTATGAAAATTAATGATTGGGACTTGGGGCTACTGCGCAGAGCCTCATCAGTACACAGTGCACACCTCAGTGTCCTCTTTATTTACACAGCATTACCTTTGCTAAGATATACACCTTAAAGAACCCTGAGGGAATGATATAAAGACCCCTTGCTGGTACCTCAAGGTCACTATCCAGAGCTGTTTCTTACACTGCTATGTTATCTCCTCCTCTCCCTCTCTATCTATCTGTTTCATCTCCTCCTATTTATCTGTCCCTCTCACCGTCAATAACCCCCAACCCTACACTGGCAGGCCACTCACCCCAACATGCGGACATATTATTTCTGCACTGACACAGCCAAAGAGATGGAGTCCTGGATGAAAGTCATGACAGACGCTGCCCTCGTCCACACTGAACCAGTCAGAAGGTTGGTGATCACCACAGGGAAGCACCCACACATAGATACGATTGTTAAGTAATGATATTTGAAAGACAAAGCCACTGTAGTTTACCCACATATGCATTCATATTCTCCCGATAGGAGTGGGATAATTTCCTGGGGGCTGTATTTATGAAGTATTTTATTAAATTACTAGAGTCACCCTAAATGCCTCTAAAAGTGCTTAGTTAAGAGCTTCCTTAATGAGGGGACATGGCGAAGTTGAGCTGGTTGACAGTGTGTTGGATGATTAACATAATTTTTTGTAAATAGCATTATAAGAAAAAATTTAAAGGGAAACACAATTAAACCTAATGAACACAAACAAATAGCGCACATATTTTTATTATGTTGGATTTAATTAACTATGTGGATGTGGAGTGAGACGCAGCAGCCTGCAAGGACATGCACAATCCTTCTCCAATTGACATCTGTCTGGAACATGCAGTCACTAGAGGAGACAGGAATCATGAGTCACATATCACAAGGTGTAATGAAGCACTCACTGAGGAATACAACTAAAGACTCATTAAGGACATTGCCCGATCACACTGCACATGTGAACTCCTCATAATCTCTATTTATACTTATACGCATGCAAAAGGCCTCAAATGATTGTGTAAATTTGATTGATTGATTGATTGATTGATTTATTCTTTCAAACATGCAGAACAGAACAGAACAGAACAATGAACAAATGACAATAACACACATGATTACACATATCCAACCAATACTAATTCAAAATCAGTTTGCTTACACCTAATACATGTTTGAATGGAGTAGGAAGAAGTCAAATCCTTTCAGACATGGTACCCCTGCATTTGCAGGCTACATGTAGCCGTGTAGCAGTTGTTTTTTGGCATTAGGACATAGAGCTGCTGTGCACAAAATTGCGGGCAAGGCTTTGTTCAAACACAGCAGGACCTACACCCCCAACATTCACAGCAACATGGTGTTCAACAGTGAGAATGAACTGTGGGTGGCTGGAAATTTTCTGTTACTTCATGGTACTAAACCGTATCTTCTTTGTACCAGTTCAAAATAAACTTTGCACCAGCAGGCAGTTTATGTCCTGCTTGATAGTGATTGGTTTTAAAATTTTGCGCTGTTGCCTAGATGTGAAACAGCAGGTAAACATTTAGGTAGAGGTTTATGTCTGGAAAAGGCTATATAAAAAGTAAGTTCAGTCCTTAGCTCCTCCAGCTAGCCAATCCTGGTGTGACGTGAGTCTGAATGTTGAAAGATGTGGGGCAAAGGCTAAAAAAACCATTATAAAGCCTCATCCGGTTCTTTCAAACCAGGAACTCAGAGGGACGACTCAGACCACTTGAGTATATAAAAAATATAACCGTGCTGGTTTATTCAAAGAGTCACAGGCAAGAATTCACACTTCCAGTCCAGAGATCTTCCAACCCCCAGGCTGCAAAAGCAGCCCGGAAACCCAAAAGACCCCGAACCAAGCATTGCTATACAATATTAATCCTTTCTGGGCTGTCGAACCGTGACGTCACCCGATAAGCAAGCCTTGCAGCTGCTATAACGTTTAGCCAAAACATGAGGAAAAGTCAAGGTGCGTGACTGTTGTTTTCGTGGTGTGTATCTAAAACAATTGGACATAACCTTACACATTAAGACAAATATTAAGACTAGCATTACAGTTGACACTAACAGCAGTTTTCCTGTAACCTTGACGTGCCTGCAGTCTGCACTGCAGGCTGAATAGTTAACAGCCTAAGCTAGTCACCCTGTCTGCACTAAACATTCCTAGACAACAAATCTCTGAATATCTATCTAACTAAGAAATAACCTAACAGGGGGTAGGTGCTTTCTGAAGCTATGTGACATGCAGTTCTGCAAGTTTAAAGCCTTGTTTATGGATATGAAATAGTTCTTCTCTATTATTAATATGCCAGTACTACTGAACCCAAACTCCATCCTGTCCTGCACTGTAAGGGGTTTCAAACAGAGTTCAGAAACATTTAAGAAGGCCAGAAAGCATGGGTGAGATGGAAGTGCTGTGAGAAAAAGCACAGGACTTCTGACTCTAAAGTTACTTTTGAAATTTATTAGAAAACTGCATGTGTTATTCTTTGCCTTATTGCTGTTCTTTCTCCTCAGACTGGATAAGTTGAAAGTAGATCAGCGGACGACTCAGGAGTTGAACAATTTACTGAACCACAGAGTCCTAACCAAGCCCGAGATCCAGAACAACGAACGCAACCGTGAGCCTGTACGACATCACTCCCTATCTCGAGTCGATGACAAACGGCAAAAAGATCTTGAGAAACACAATGGCCAGAGGGAGCGGGAGTATTACACACTGCAGAGAGATGGGGAGCGGTACTCTTTGAAGAAAGATGGGGTGAGCTACATGCTTCAGAAGGATGGAGAGAGGTATCTCCTTCATAAGGATGGAGAGAAGTACCTGCTGCGAAAAGATGGAGACAAATATTCACTGCAGAAAGATGGAGAAGTATATGCCATTCACAGGGATCTGGAACAGTACGCCACTCAGAAAGTGGATGAAAAGTATGCAGTGACGCCAACAGAGGAGAAATACGCGCCATCTAAAGATGGAGAGAAGTATTTGCTTACTAAGGATGGAGAAAAATACGCATTGCAGAAAGTTGGTGACCGGCACACACTCCAAAAAGATGGACAGAAACATGTTTCTCAAAAGGAAGTGAAGAGACAGCTGTCATTAAAAGAGACAGACAGGTACAGCACAGTAAGGGACACGGAGAATAAATATGGTACCATACAGGTTGTGGACAAATATGGTGCTCTCAAAGAAGTGAAAAAATACAGTACGCTACGAGAAGGGGATAAATATGTTTCGCTCAGAGATGCAGAGAAGTATGCTACAGTTCGTGATGGGGATAAATATGGCTTCCAGAGAGACCCGAGTGCAGAGAGGTCTCTGACTAAGATTAGTAGCATCAAGCTGCAGCCTGCCCAGGCTGCTGCCATCGCAGCTGCGGTGTCTGCATCTCGCCAGGGCCAGGCCAACCTCAAAGCGCAAAAGCCTGCACAGGTTAATGGCTCAGGGTCGGTGGTGGGGGAGCAGACCAGGGACTCCAGCGTGGCAGAGGTGGATGGCAGCCTCACCAGGGCTCCAGTGAAGTCCCCTGCTCCAGTGCAGGAGCCAGAGAGGGGTCTGTCTAGGACCAATTCCATGCAGCAGCTGGAGCGCTGGGTCCGCACACACAGAACAAGAGGACTGGATGATGACAACAGGAGGTGAGATAGACCGAGTGTGAGTTCACATGTGCATGTGGGTTTATAATTCTATTGTTCTGTTTGTGGAAATATTTTGGGCTTTACAGTTTGAGACTGAGGGCTTTTTGGTGTAGTGAGGACATTTTGTCCAGTCATCTCTTCTTCAAGGGTCTATGAGGACCTGGACACGTTTCATTGTTTCC